AAGGACTGCAATCGATGGATATTGACGTTGGTTGCGTGGCATGTTGCACCGTCTTGTTGGAAATAAACATCGTCCATATCCATTCCTTCAAGTTGCGGCAAAAAATAGTCCTCTATCATCACGTGATATCGCTCAGAATTGACGTTAACGGCGTCCCCGGTCGCATTTTCGAAAAAGTAAGGTCCGATGATGCTTTTTGACCACAATGCACACCACACAGTCACTTTTTGAGGATGCATCGGCTGCTCTTGATACCCACGGGGATTTTCGTTCACCCAGATGCGGCAGTTTTGCTTGTTTACCGTCCCATTCAAAGTGAAATGCGCTTCGTCGCTGAACATGATTTTTGATGAAAAATTGGCATCAATTTGGCGGTGTTCAAGGAGCCAATCTGAGAACGTTCGGCGCGAAAAATGGTCGGCCCGACGCAGCTCTTGCATCAATTGGATCTTGTAGGCGTGTACATTCAAATCCTTGTGGAGAATGCGGAGCAAACTGGTTCTCGAAATGCCCAATTCTTGGGATCGACGCGTTGTTGATTGTTTCGGATCGTCTCTCACACTCTCCTTCACAACAGCAATATTTTCCGGTGTGCGAACGCTCCTTGGCCGGCCAGAGCCTGGCAGATTTGCCACAGAACCTGTTGCCTCGAATTTACGCACCAGACGACCGATGGTTGTTTCGTTTGGGCGGTTGTTGCGACAGAAATGTTCACGAAGCGCGCGAAACGTGTTTTTTATTTTTGCACCATTTTTGTAGTGCTCTTGAATAACTTTAATGCGGTCTTCAATCGAATACGACTCCATAGCGATCAATGGTAAACATTCAAACCTTATTTCCCTATCGAGATACATTCTTTTCCTATCAAGAAAATTTACGTGTGCAGACGCTCCAGTACCATTTTCTTTTCTTTCTGCTGAGGTTTGGTTGTGTTTGGGTGTTGTTTCGTTAACTTCCAGATTTTGGGATATTAACGCCCCAAACACCAATTAATGGAGTAGTACCCTTTTGTTTTGTACCTTACGTTTAGTGTTTTGGTTTGGCTGCTACCCAGTCCATTTTCTAATGGAATTTTACGCACCTGCGGTAAGTTCTTTTTTGTATACCATCGGACCACGTCCATTAGTGCATGTCCTGAAGAAGCTTGATCAATATCTCCTTCCTTTTAGTGGAAAGGTATTGCGGATAACCACCATTGACACTCCTCCAGCTTTGTTTTGTAGCTGCCTTGTAGCTGTTTCGCAGCCGATTTTGTTGGAAGCCATCCCTTCCTCTTGACAAAAAGCCCTGATGTAAACAGGTGAAACATCATTTTAATCGGGTATACGAGGGTGGTCCCAGAAGTACCCGACCCGACGAAGAAAACACAAAAATTTTGTAAAAAAATGTAAGTATTTATTTTTCAACATAATCTCCTTTGAGCTCTATACACTTTTCCCACCGACGTTCGATAAGTTCGATACTCTTTTGATAATAAGAACTGTCTTGCTCCTCAAAATAGCCTTTAACTGCCGACATCACTTCTTCATGGTTGGAAAATCTTTGACCACTGAGCCATTTCTTCAAGTTTGGAAACAGAAAATAATCCGAGACGGCTAAATCTGGTGAATAGGGTGCATGACGTAGCAATTCAAACTTTAATTCGTTAATTTTGGCCATTGCAATGATGACGGATTTGTGAGCTGGTGCATTGTCTTGATGAAACAACACTTTCTTCTTAACCAAATGCGGCCGTTTTTGCTTGATTTCATCGCTCAAACGTTGCAATAAGTTCGCATAATACTCGCCGTTGATAGTTTTACCTTTTTCAAGATAGTCAATGAAAATTATCCACGCGCATCCGAGAAAACCGACTCCATAACCTTGCCTGCAGATGAAACGGTCTTCGTCTTCCTTGGAGCGGGTTGTCCCTTTTGAGTCCATTGTTTTTATTGTTCTTTTGTCTCGACGCAAAAATTCTGCTTTGTTGCTGTGAAACTCCGCTAAACACTCAATCGAAACATCTTCACGACACTGTATTTGCTCGATTTTGAGCAATCGCGGCACCTATCTTGCACACAGCGTTCTCATGTCCAAATTTTCAGATAGTATGCGACGAACCGCACTTTTTGAAATGCCTACTATGTCTGCTAGCTCGCGCACCTTCAGTCGACGATCATTCAGTACCGCTTTGTGAATTTTCTTCACCATTTCTGGAGTCGTCACCTCATTGCGATGCTCGTCTTGGCAGCTCATAGGGCGTCGTTTAAACTCTGCTACCCAATATTTTACTGTTGTAAACGAAAGAGCAGACTCGCCCAGAGTAGAATCCAGTTTTGCTTTTATATTGGTTGGGCTGAGGCCTTTGAAATAAAAGTACTGTACCACATAACGATGACCAGTTTTCTCCATTTTCACAAATTCACTGAAAACGTTCAGTATTGATGGCTGCCAAACAAATACTAAACAACGTGGCGTCTTCAAACTTGACACATATGCTTTATAGGTTACGTACTTTCTAATACAATGATATTTTTCAAACAACTATCGCCATCTCTAGGTCAGGCCGGGTACTTCTGGGACCACCCTCGTATTATAGATATTAATAAATTGATGTACTACAGTACATTTAGCATGATTTTGATTTTTGAGCTGCCATAACTTTATTTATAGAAAACTTTCAGCGCGTATATCACTTTAGCACACTTTTATTTTTCTTACCTTTGCTTTACTTTTCTTGTAAAAGATAATGTACATGGTTTTTCTTCAACTTTTGAGTATTTTAAATGTGTAGTGCTGTCCCAGACAGAGAATAGAGAGTACATTTTTAAGCAGTCTTTCTCTCTCTAGGGTTTTTTTTATACTGTCAATTTAGAAAAACGAGGCAAGCAGCTGCCCACTGCTGACCACTGGTTTTCGACCTGAACGCTTGTGAGCGTAGGACATCTCTGGTCAGCCTAGAGCTATAACTGGAAGAAGACCATTATCCAGATAATTTTAGGTTTAAGCATTAAAATATTTGTAAGGCCTATATTTGTAAAGCCTTTGAATGTGTGTACCATGGTCTAATAATTATACTAAGTGACATAGAAATCCGAACACCCAGTTTAAATGGTTTTATTTTAATAAAATTTTGTATAAGTACTTAATGAAGCATAAGTAATTGATAAAAATTTCAAAATGATTGCACTGCTTTAAAGCCCTTTGACCTTTAATAATGTGTGGATGCACCCTGATGTGCTACGCATTCTCCAACGCGCCTAGGCATGCTTCTGATCAGGTGATCAATGTCCTCCTGTGGTATCTCATTCCAGGCAACCACCAACTCCTCTCGAAGTGCTTTAGAGTCTGAGGAGGACGTTGCAAATTGAGCAATCTCCTACCCATCATATCCCACACGTGCTCAATTGGGGATAAGACGGGAGATCTTGGTGGCCATGGTAACAATGTGACATCATTATGTTGAAAGAAGTCTATTGTGACTCTTGCAACATGTGGTCAGGCATTATCTTGTTGGAAAGTTGGATCTGCCAGGGTGTCAAGATAGGGTAAAAGATGGGGTTCTAGAACTTCGTGGATATAACGCTGCGCGTTCATGTTACCTCTGATGAAGATTAAAGGTGACCTGGAACCATAAGCTATAGCACCCCAAACCATAACTCCAACAGTGTGATGAACATGTCTTTCAACAAAAAACTGTGGATTCCTCCTTTCACCACGTCGCCTTCTAACCCTGGCACGACCATCGTGCATGCCTAAACAAAATCTAGACTCGTCACTAAAGACAATACTGTTCCATTCCTGATCCCAGAGTGACCGTTGTCTGCACCACTCAAGGTGATTACGTCGGTGTTCTCGAGTTAAAGGGAGGACCCAGTGTGGCCGGTATGTAAACAAGCCAAAACTTCTCATTCGTCGGTAAACACTTCGCATGCCAATAGGTCTTCCGTATTCTGCAAACCATTCATTTGCAATGGACCTGGTAGTGGAGAAACGGTCCCTTAAGGCCAATAATCTTAGGCGGCGATCTTCACGGTCTGTTGTTCTACGGCGGCTCTTTGCGTACGGCCTTCTCGAAGCCATGCCTGACAACACCTAACCACAGTGTCTACACTTCTTTGCACTCTAACTGCAATTGCCCGAAAAGAAGGTCCAGCTTCCCGATGTCCCACTATACGGCCCCTATCAAACTCACTAAGTTGACGAAATCGTACAAGTCTCCGTACTCTAGGCATCGTAACCGATCGTAAAGGATGTCAAGAACCAAAATCCGCCAACGTTGATTCTTTACTGCGGCTGAAATATTCAGTTTTAGAGCGTTAGTGAATTAAAAAAAAGCAGTATAAAAACCGGAATGCCCAACTGATAAGGCTGAAATTTTTTTCACTTGTTATTTACAGTAAGATAAATACATTCACCACCTTTTATTAAAATAAAACCCTTTAAACTGGGTGTTCGGATTTATATGTCACTTAGTATATATTGTCAGTTTTGAATAACATACTTTTTTTAGCTTGCACTCCAGTGATGGAGCATATATGTACTGCTTGTTTTAATGATATATTGTAATTCTTTTTTTAAATATCTTGTTTCATTTGCACAATTAATTAGGTTTTTTTATTACTGTGGATTATTTTCTTTTGTGTGGCTGGCCAGGCAAAACAAGTTCCGATGAACATCTCGGGTATTTGTGACTTAATCCGTCTTAAGTCACTGGGCTCTTAACCCCCCTACTCTCCGCTTTATTAAGCTAGAGCCTAAATTTGCACGCGACTGGACAGCTGTTTTTCATTGGCTGACCGTAAGATTTGATTTATAGTCTTTTATTTATTTATTAATTCATTAATTTAAAAAAAGGAAAGAATAATCACACCATCATTTTCTCTTTCTTATGAAAAAAAGACGTGGCACGGCACTGACCTCGAACGATGTGACAGAATCTCTTCTAACACGCTATAAAAGCATTATAAATTTCAAATCAAGATTGCGGAAAATGTTTATTTATAGAAATATATACTACAGCTCAGGGAAGTCAAGCTATTGTCGGCTGGTGCGTATTTTGTAGAGATGGTAGTTGCTTAATAGTTAAGCAGAATTACCTTATCAAGATACTCATTCTCTGCAGATACTTTATTTATTTTGGATTATAATTTCTAGGAAACTAGCTAACTAAGTGATACAATCCTACCATGATTATATACAAAAAAAAATATAATCCTGATTTCAATAATATAATGCAGATTAAACCACATTACAACTTGTGTCTGGATTGCATTTTGAGATTTCCACGTAGAGCGCATCAGCCTATTACACGCCTTCCTGTGCCTGCCGGTATTCGAAGACGCTGCCTCGTTCCAGGAACACGCCCAGACGTCCGTCGCTTGAAGGCTGTTGCGAAGTCTGTTCTCCGGGGACACCATAACCGCCACCACCTGGAGTGAGCAAGCTGAACATATCCTAAAACAACAAAAGCATTCCTTTAATCAAATGGAAGAACGTACGAAAGAAACCTTAAAGGATGTCTTCCATTTATTCGCTGAACAATAATAATAATGATAATATACTCAGTGCTACACCCAGAAAAAAGAATCTCTTCAACTTGATTTTGTGGCAATGAGGTAGAGACAAGTAATAAGAAAATTAATAATGTGTTGGGCGACTCCGCAGCTGAATACACTCCTGTATACGACTAGGCATCGACAAAATGAGATCACTACAACTGGAGTCTATTTCTCATATATTATAGTCACCGATCACTTTGAACACATACACACACTTTGAAGCTTAGAAAACAAGCTTATCTCTTAATTACAGCCTCTCGGATTCCAAAATCACAAATTGAAAAGGTTATGGTTTCTCAGCGTTTTGAGCACGAGTTGCGTCGATGCAGCAAGCAGCGGCGGGAGTAACACTACCACTTACGTTGCCAGATTTCTTTGTTCACGGCTCGTAGTTGACGTCGGCTGTGATGAGATGATCGATGTCTGGTTGTGGCACCTCATTCCGAACAACTCGAACTTCGTGGATTAGCTGTGTCAGAGCAGGCGCGGATTCAGGGGGGGTCATGGGGGCCACAGCAAACTTTACATATAGTCCTTATGTTGCCAAAAAAACAACTTGAAGAAATTATTTTTCCAGGGTGTAACACTTATAATGTCACTGGGTATCTAATAATAATAATAATAATAATAATAATAATAATAATAATATTTATTTACTCAATGTACAAAGATAACAAACAATATGAGTAAATAAATATAAAATCAAAACAGGCCCAATAGAAGGCATCGCCTGTACATGGACAAATAATTAAAGTTGAAACTGTAGAATGCAAATGACAAAAAAGGACAAAAATTAGCTACAGTAGATTATGTATTTAGTTGATGTTCGTATTTATGAGTGTATGAATTTCAGTCCTAGATATAGAATGTAGCCACTTTTTTAAATTTCTTTTGAAACAATTTCCGAAACGTAAATCTTTTAAGTCTTTAGGTATAATTTCATTAAATTTAGGCGCTAAATAGAGATATGATCGCTGCATTATAGATTTATGCGGTTGAGGAACTACTGTGCCACGAATTTTGTACCTGGTATAATGATTATGTTTAATTTTTTGGTCGGTGTTTACAAATTTATGGTAGTGAGTGATACTGTGTAAGAAATAAAGCTGTCTTATATCATACATTCGAACATCTGCATATAATTTTTCAGTGGGATAAAGTTTCGGTTTTTTAAATATCATTTTTAGAATACTTTTTTGAAAAACAACTAAATTATAGATATGTGAGGAAGATGCAGCTCCCCATGCTAATATACCATATGTGAGATGAGGCTCAATCAGTGCATGGTATAATGTTCGAAGATATTTTTCTGTAAATATATTCCCAAGGTATTTAATTTTGTAGGATACAAATCTAACTTTCTTTAAAATATAATTGACATGGATGTCACATCGTAAGTGAGGATCCAAGACCACTCCAAGGTATTTTATGTTGGCCACTCTATTAATTTGCATTTTTTGATCATTAATATTGAAGGAGAAATTTGTGTAATTTGGCAGATGTCTAGCATAAGATCCAAATGGTAAAAAATGTGTTTTAGAGTAGTTAATGCTTAATTTTCTACTGTTAAACCACCGAATAATTTTGATAAAATCATTTTCAATTACATTTTTCAGATTAGACCAGTCAGTGCCTTCATATAATATTGCAGTATCATCTGCAAAACTAGTTATTTTGCCAACACAATTAATTTGGAAAATATCATTTAAATATATACTGAATAACAGCGGACCTAAGACAGTTCCTTGTGGGACACCACACTTAATATACATTTCTTTACTAAATGATCCTGATATCTGCACAGATTGTGGGCGATTTGACAAATAACTTTCGATCAGTGAGTACGCGTTTCCTCTGAAACCAATTTTCTCCAATGCTTCTAATAATAGTTTGTGATTAACTGTGTCGAAAGCTTTCTTTAAATCAACAAAAATGCAGATTGAAGGGATTCTGTTATCAATATTTTGATATATTTGATTTACAATTTTAGTTATTGCGTCCGATGTAGCCTTCCCTTCTGTAAATCCATATTGATTTTCACTTAAAATTTTGAATTTTGTGAGTATCGAATCATTCTAGTAGATAAAACTTTTTCAAAAACCTTTGCTTCACTGGATATTATTGATATTGGTCTATAGTTGTTAATATCTGTTTTTGTTCCTGATTTATGTATCAGTATTAAATATAATATACCTTTTTTTAAAATTAAGGGATATATGCCAGATTCAAAGCATTTGTTGATTAGGTAAGTGAGTGGTTGTGTTTGTTTAAATTAACGCCAATGAGTTTTGTGTCAAAACTTGTATGACGTACGTTTCCGAACCACCCTGTACACTGAATAAATGGCGGCGCCTAAATTTTGAAATCGCTATAATAAGCATTATATTCTCATCCATATTTGAAATGTAAAAAAGCGCTTAATTTTTAAGGAAACGTTATTCCGTGTTCCTCTGAAGGCAAAGGTGTCTGGTAGATGGAGGCGGGAGTTTAATTATTCTGTTACTGTTAACTTTTCCATGAAACTTTAGTGAAGTTAGGAGAAGATTTAGAAAGCACTTCCGAGAACGTTGCAACTTCGTACAAAACTCCCGGGAAGTTGTGAAAACTAATTACAGGGTGACCGATTTAGCAATCAAATGGCCTCACGTAGTGATCGTTGCTCAATTTTAGAAATAACGATGGTGACAGTTTTATTTTACGTTCTGCTTTCGAACGTCGTGAGACGCAAGTCGTTTAGGGCTTGAAAATTTTCCAGCGTCCTTAAAAGCAGTTGCAGCTTCTTTTTCGATAATAGGAGCCTCACAGGTTTGGTATGCTTAAATACTAGCATTTTTCTTTGTGCAATTCCAACCCTGCCCAATAATGATGGGTGATTTTTTTGCTAGTATCTTTTTGGCAACACTGTTTTTGACAGATGACGCGTGAATCGTGTCTTGTGTCATTGTCAAACTTGTTCAGTTTGGTCTATAATTTAACCATGAATCGACTTACGAACGAACAACGCTTGCAAATTATTGAATTTTACTATCAAAATTCATGCTCGGTTAAGAGAGTGCATCGAGCACTGCTTCCAATTTATGGGCAATTTGGTCGGCCTACTGAGGGAGCTATTCGGAAGCTTGTGACTAAATTTCGAACCCAGTTTACATTATTGGACATTAAACCACCAACAAGCAGACGTAGAGTGAGGACTGGAGAAAATATTGCGGCTGTATCCGCCAGTGTTAGTGATGACCGTAAAATGTCGATTCGCCGTCGTTCGCAGCAATTGGGCCTCTGTTACTCCACTACGTGGAAAATTTTGCGACAGGATTTGGGTGTAAAACCTTATAAGAACAGCTGGTGCAAGAATTGAAGCCACGCGACCTCCCACAACGTTTCCAATTTGGTGAATGGGCGCTGGCAAAGTTGGAGGAAGATCCACATTTTTATCGAAAAATTGTGTTCAGCGACGAAGCTCATTTCTGGTTGAATGGGTACGTTAACAAGCAAAATTGCCGCATCTGGAGTGAAGACGAGCCAGAAGCATTGCAAGAGCTACCAATGCATCCCGAAAAAATCACTGTTTGGTGTGGTGGTGGGCCGGTGGCATCATCGGGCCGTACTTCTTCAAAGACGACAAAGGCCGGAACGTAACTGTGAATGGCGAGCGCTACCGTGCGATGATAACAAACTTTTTTTTGCCCAAAATGGAATAGCTGGACTTGGCTAACATGTGGTTTCAACAAGACGGTGCCACATGCCACACCGCACACGAAACAATGGCCCTATTGAGAGGCGAGTTCGGTGAACAGTTTATCTCACGTTTGGCGCCCGTCAATTGGCCGCCTAGATCGTGTGATTTAACGCCGTTGGACTATTTCTTGTGGGGCCATGTTAAGGCTAATGTTTACGGGGATAAACCAGCAACGATTGACGCACTGGAAGCCAATATTGAAGAATTTATTAGTGAAATACCGGCCCATATGTTGGAGAGAGTGTGCCAAAATTGGACCTTACGCATGGGCCATTTAAAGCGGAGCCCCAGCCTACATTTACATGAAATAATCTTTAAACATTAAATTATATCGACCGTTCTATCGACTCAAATAAAGATTAAATTGTTTTTTCAAATTTTTTGTGTTTTTTGAAAATCAAATCCTATACCTCTTAAAAAATCACCACATTAGCTGAACTATTTTTATTCTTCATATATTTGTATAATTATGTGTTCCTTAATGATATAATCCATGAGAGGGAGAGCGGAATCATGGATACTAAGTTAAGGGGGCCATTTTCAATAATTTTTGTAATCATTTCGTTGGTTTTAATGTTATGTTTATGTTGTCAATTGTTATTGTTCATTACCCCTAATGTGTTTAATTTTTCCAATTAAATTAATAATCATTTCACAAGTTAGACAATAGAACACTTTTTATTTTTTTACTTAAAAATGAAGGAAAACAATTCAAGAGAGATCATTTGTTTTAAATTGTACGGGGAATTCAAAAATAATTTTTATTTGGAAAAAACTATTGGCGTACCATTTTTTTTTAAATATCGAAGTCAATAAAAAAATATTAAAAATTATTTTTGCATCGAAAAAAAAGCAACTTTATTAACTTTCACTACGTACTAAATATCAGTGAAATGTCTGAAGCGGTTCTGAAAATATTAATTAATTTCCATTTTTTTTCCAAAAACTTCAACACCCAGAATTTTTGTAAGGAAACATTTTTGGATCATAGTTTTTAAAGCAAACTAGCATTAGTTTTCAATGCATATCAAACATCTTAATCAAACTTCTGAAAATTGGTGAAAATTATGCTCAAAGATTCTATTACATACATACTACAAGCCAAGCTAATAGCGTGTTAAAAACAGAAAAAACAAGGATTTTTGAACATTTTTTTAACA